TGCAGAATGGTGTCTGCCTTTGCCTGTTGAGTGTCCTCACTCACCCTGTGGGTGAACACAGTGGGGCTGTGAGTGATTGTACAGGAGTCTGCCTGTGGCACATGGGCGTTTGGTTTGTTGGCTTGTTGTTGTTTTGCTCAGGCCATTTTCCTACGTCTACAAAGACATAACCCATACTATCCACAAACAGCCTAGCTAGTCAAGATTCCTAGGATTTGAGATATTTGAACTACTGGGGTTTATATTAGAAGCCTACTTTTCTTGGCTGAGTGAGTATCAGCTACATGGAATCATAGTTTTCATGCAGTTTGGGCAAGTATAGTTTAAAAAAAAAAAGGAATTGAGAGTTTGTGGGACATCAAGGTCAAGAACCATGAAAAGAAAGAAAAACATATAGCTCCTCTACCATAGACAAGGAAATTGCTGATATCCCAGTATGTACAGGATCCTGGGTGCCATTCACTAGAATATTCAACTTAGTCAATATCTATATCTATATTCAATTATATATACGTATATACATATATATGTGTGTGTATATATATATATACATATATATATTCACACACACACTATGCCTACTGCTTGGCATACGTATCTCTTATTAATAATGTCCAAATTATTGTGACATTTCATTTTATCCAGGCTCATTCATATCTACATAAAAAATATATCCCAAAGAGCTGAGAATTGCTTAATGGAGACAGAGTGCTGGGTCTCTATAGCTTGGGGCTGCCTAGCAATTATGCTGCATGAAATTAGACACAGTTTGTTCCAATTACTTAAAATCAGATCACATGAAAAGTGACAGAGGAGAAGAAAAAAACCTAGACCTTTCTCATTTTGTGATATTTAAATTATGAAATCAGAAACTACACGATGTGAAGAAACAAGCGATATTTGCTGTGGAATTCAGAGGGAGGGCTGCAGTGCAGCTCCTTGGAGCTGTAATGATTCAGGTAATTTTAATGATCCAAGGAGAATTTTTCTGACACCATTTGCATAAATAAAATGTGAATTCCATTTGTCTTATAAGAATGTATGTAAAGCTTGCTCACAAACAAGCATGCAAAAATACTTCTGAAAAACACAGGACAAGGAAATTGCTGTGACAATTTTCAATTTTCAAAGTAGCTCAAGATGAATGGCACAAATACTAATTTTTCCATCTAGTTCTGGTCCTAGCAATGAGACAGCCAACAAGACAAGACAAAAGATGTTGTAACTCAGTCCTACTGAAGAGCAAGGATCGACATATTTATTAATTCTATTGAAAACTAACTGGAAGAAACTTTCCTAGGTCCTGGAAAACTGTAAGGAAATAATACTGCGGAAAATGTTACAGACGAGAATGCCCATATGTCCATGTTTATAACTTTATATTCAAATAGCATCAACAACTGCATATTAAAGACTGAGTATTTGGGGATGATTAGATGGTAAAGGCTCCTGATAACATGAGTTCAGTCTCTGGGTCCCACTTGGTAGAAAAAGAGAACCAATTCTGCAAGTTGTTCTCTAACCTCTACATGTCTGTAGTGGCATGCATCTATATAACATACACACACACACACACACACACACACACACACACACACACACACACACGCATACACGGGTACACACAGGGATATGCATGCATGCACACAGAAAAATGAAGGCAAGATAGCCGGGTGGTGACACATGCCTTTAATCCAAGCACTCAGGAGGCAGAGGCAGGCAGATCTCTGTGAGTTTGAAGCCAGCCTGGGATACAGAGTGAGTTCCAGGAAAGGTGCAAAGCTACACAGAGAAACCCTGTCTCGAAAAACCAAAATAATGAAAGCAAGAATTTTTTTAAAAAGAGAATTGCCCATTTCAAAACCTAGTTTGTAATTCTTATTGGACACTACTGTTTAGAGCTGCTAGTGAGAGAAGTCTTTAACTTCTATGGATCCTAGGACTCACAGTCACAAAATTGGGGGTTATAAAAGTTGTTCATGTTCAAACTCTTATAATTAGTAAGTGCAGCATAATTTATATGCTCTAATAGAGTCATTCATATTATATACAATTTTTCAACTAGTATAGACACAGAACTACTATATATAAAATTCTAATTCAGTGTTCTGTTTCTAAGAAAAGAGATTCATTTGATGAGAATTGTGTGTCATGCTTTTATACAACAGGAATTATGTCTTAAACGTAGGGTATTGGGTGGTGTTTAGTTCTGTACTGGTCGTGATACCTGGTTTTATGTTGTGTGTGGTCCTAGCTCATTATGGTTTGAATACATGAGTCAACACCACTTTTAGGATTGAAGCAAAGAAAATACAGGTGTGGATGCCTACATTTTCTGTGGGTTCGGAAAGACACTTTATTATTTATTTTGGTGTTGAATTTGAATAGATAGTATCTGGGTAAGGTACCTCAGTTATATTTATTCTTTTTGTTTAAACTATAGCTGCTAATTTACCATTACATACTTATCTGGACCTTAAGGATGATGAATAACGAAGCAATAAATTTCAAACTGGTACTTGGGTGAGAAGACACTCCACCAAGGAAAACACAGACTCAGAAAAAGGTTTTCAGAGAATGATGCTAGCTATCAGGGAGTGAGGGAAAGATTGATGTCAGATGAGATGTGTACGCATGGTGTGGTATTGGATGGTGTGTGTGTGTGTGTGTGTGTGTGTGTGTGTGTGTGTGTGTGTGTGTGTGCTTGTGCCTGTGTG